AGGTTAGATCGGAGCTATGTGCGCAGGCCGCACCCCAGTCGATGTGAGGCGCCTGAAATTACGGAACAGGATAGCGGTCCGGGGTGGTGACATTGGTTAGGGCTCTGTTATCACCACAGGGAGCGCCAGTCACAAGTGGTGCCCTTGGGGACCATGTGGATGGGTTAGGCCTATGTGCTGTCAGATTGACGAACGATGCCCATCTGAAACATGTGTTTAAACTCGGCCTTGGCGACAGTAAGTCTTTCAGGCGCGAGACGGCAAGAAGGTGAAGGGACAAGATGGTCAGTCGTTGGGATATAATGCACAACAGGGGGTAAATTTGTTGAAATTTGAAAGCATGAGATCAGAGTATTTGGTGAGAAGTTGCAGAAATGGGCTCTCTGAATCAGGCTACAAGACAGAGAGTTTGCGGGACAGTTCAGATGATGGAACATCTCGAACGCAGAGCTTGGTTGTCTGGTCATGCAAACTGCAGTAACTGCATTCCGCCATGAGATTGAGGGTGGCGAGGAAGTCTGAGACAAGTTTGGCACAGGGCACGTCAGCAACGATAAAAAGCCAAGGGAAGTGACGTCAGAAGCCGATGTCCGGTGAGAGGGAAATAGTGCTGAATGTGGCGATTGGCGGGATGTTGACTGCCTAAAAGAAATCGCGAAGATTGGGGTACCAACGGCCGGCTGTTGAAGGAGGAATGACACCCAATTGAGCGCCAGTGTCAACCAAGAATCGTCTGTCACCTTTGCTTTAGAAGACGCAAAAAGTGCGACCGGGGGTAGAAACGACAAGAGGATTGGTAGTATTTACCTTCGCATGGGCCGTCTTTACCCGTTTGCTTCTATTGAAGATATAGAAGCAGGGAGATTTGCAGCAACGAGGTTTCACACCAAAGTTGGATTGATACGAGCAAGTGGCAACAGAGTTACGATGAACTGAATAAGCAGGCTTGGCATGCTGGGGAAAGGAGCTCAGTGGGCTCCGAACTGAACATGTCGATCACTGTTGAGAAGTAGCTAGCTGTTCAGCAAGTTTGGCAAGCTCAGTTTTTAGTTGTGAGAGAAGAAACACAGGAGTCACAGCAGGAATTTGGAGTGCAGCAAGTGATGGTGTGACTAAACCATGTATTTCCATAAACCGTTCAACCATTTGGGCGAGTTGTGCGGCAGAAAGAGGACCAGAAAAGAAACCGAATTTCTGGTGGTAAGCGGCCCTCTGTGTTCATGTGACTCCATCGTAGATTTCGAGGAATAATGTGTTCGTAGGAGGTCCCCAATTGTCGAAGGTGGTTATGTGTCGACAACACGAGTGTTTCTCAAATGAAAAGTTAGGGAAAACGGAATTGTATAGACACTTTTACTTGGGAGAAAATGAGTTGTACATGTGCTCCACTCTTGCGCTAGCTTCAAGTTGTTTTCTCTGGCAAGCTGTATCCGTGAATACGCGCTGTAGGGAAGCCTTGAATGCATGATGTGTCGGCTGCTCGGCCAATCAAAGGAAGCGGGGCGTTCGTTTGGCATCGAGCGTACATGCGTATGAAGCGGTGAGTCAACCGATAGCTTAGGAAAGGTTGACTGAAGATAAGTTGTCACGCTTGAGTGCAAATGATAATAGACGAAGGAAAAATTAGTCATGTGGTTGAGAAGATACCAATCGAGATTTGGGAGTGTTGCCCTTTCCCTCTACAGTTATGTAAGTGACTACGCCAGAAGCAGTGTCTGAGCGGCCATTAGGAGGTGGAGTTCAAACTCAAAATTTGTTGTTGTCTTTTTGGCTTGATTTGTTTGGGTACGGACATATTTTGCTTTATGTAGGCGCTGATACTGTGCCAAAAGTACGTCTGATACCTAAAATCCCAGAAAATTTCCGATTAATAAAGTATCAATAATTTTCCTATCATTATTATTATACGACTTGCGTTTAATTTTCTGTATGAATGTACAGCTGGCGATAGGCTGTCTTGCAGGGGTGTGCGTTCAATGTTGGGGAAAGCCAATATAGCGAAAAAGAACGTTCCCGTTTACGGGTTCACATAATAAATAAATTTTTATATTTATACATGGGTGAATTCTCCCACAATTTTCCCGGCATTTACACCCTGTATCACTGCAAATGTCCCCTCGTACACCGCGCGGCATGAAGGGGAATCGGAAAGGTTGGTGCTGACAGGAAGGTTGAAGATGCGAGATGTAATTAAAAAGCAGCGCATAGCCGTGAGGGTACATGGAATATCAGCTTTGGTTAAACCTCCCATTGAAGTTCGTCTTTTGTTTCGTTTTTAGTTTACATCTCTGGTTACAGTACTTTTCGATATATTCATTTTGGACATCTGATTACGAGGGATGTCCTAGAAGACAAAAGTAATGGCATAACTGCTTCGATTTTTAATCACATATTGCATAGCCTAATCCGTTTTCTTGCTTAAATGAATATTAATTTGACTTTAGTTATCCCTTTGATTATCTCCCTAAACTCTAACCAACAATATTTGTAGATTTAGTAGCCAGCAAACTAGGGACCTTTCTCTTTGATTCCCTCCCTGTAATAATGAGCGTCGAATAGAAAAACTGCAAAGCACCTTCCCAAAATTTTCGTACATGGACGATAATTTTTGACCGTTAAAGTGGCAATTCGTATTGATTTGTTTTAATGCATTAAACGCCAAAGTCAGTAATAAGACACCGATTTGATTTAGTACTTTTCAAGAGTCGTTTTTATTCACATGGAATCTCCGGAGGAAAAAAATGAGCCGCCAATTAAAAGTGAGGAGAATCCAGAAATACAGACAGCCGAAAATTTCGATTCCTCATTACTTCAAAAAGCGACACCTGAATACTTACAGGAATTACTCAGGGATAAAAAACTTTTGCAATCAATGCCAAATACCTTTAAACACGTGGAACTTATTCTCGAGAAGGGTGAGCGCGAAAAATTAAGTTCTTCCTAGCTTTAGTTATCTGGAATCATGGTCATCAGATTTTATTCTTAAATTTTGTAGATCGGCTGCAGGTAATCGTTTATTCGTTTCAGAGCGGGAACTTACAGTTGTCTTTAACATAATTCAATAATAAACAGCTATATGTGGAAAAGTGATCATCTTAACCCTGCATGTTAAAAAAATTCACTACCACCCGTGCATTTTTGATCAGTGTTATTGATACCATTTGATATTACTAATCCCATGGTACTCTTGATTACTCTAACAATCACACTTATTCGTACGCATGGCTTACTTTATTAATATAGAAATTAACTGGGCCCAATAAAAAGCGCAATAATTCTGTCACCATATCGATGATTGATCTAAACTTATCTTCGCTTAACTTTGTAACCAGCTACACACCTGGACGTAAATAAGGTTCTGGCTTTGACTATGAATAGTCGCTGTGATTTCGCTTTAAACACCCTCTTATATGCTGTTTTTAAAACTTAAAGAAATAACCCTTGTGCGTGAGCGATTATTCCACAAAAATGGCTCAATACAGAAGGCGGCCTCTGAACTTCCCGAACCATCAGGACCTATTGTCACTCTTCAGAAGAAAGTTTTTGTTCCAGTAAAGGAAAATCCCAACGTAGGTTCTTTTTTATATCTGTTATACAATATAGTACAACTTTGTCGGAAGACTGCTTGGACCTCGTGGACTTACTGCCAAACAAATGGAGCAAGATCTTGGTTGCAAAATAATGGTTCGAGGAAAAGGATCAATGCGCGATAAGCGAAAAGTAAGTCTCAGTAATTCAGTTTAAATCCAAATCTTATATATTTAATATAACGAGTAACTAATAAGGCTTTGAAAAAGCCTGCTTTGCCAGTACCAAGATATTTTCAACGCATATTCATCAAAACACAGGTTATTGTTTGCGCACAACATATGTAATTAAAACGCCCTATCTGTACAAAATTAATGTAGAGTCTAGGTACCCGTTTTAGTAAATTCAAAAACAGGTTTCACTCAAATCACAGGAATATTATGTAACATCACGCAGAATTAACTTTTACTTTCATTCTCTGACGTGGTCCTTCTGAAAACGCGTAACGCTCGCGCTATATCTCGTCGACTTTCACCTAAAATACATGTCACCTGAATCCTTTCTAAATGAGCATTTTTCTTTTTGACAGGAAGACCAAAATAGAGGAAAACCAAACTGGGAGCATCTTCAGGAGGAATTACACGTTCTTGTTAGTGTTGAAGACTACGAAAGCCGTGCAGAAGCCCGGCTTCAACGGGCCGTAAATGCTATCCAGATATTTCTAGAGCAAGGAGTCAAGACTGTAAGTTTTTCTTCGCATACCAATGATTCTTAGAAGTTATAGTAAATCTGATGTTTCCAAATTGTTATATATTTTTTATTGGAAGGCATACGATATCATAACATTTCATTTCTCTATCGCAAGCGGAATTTTCCGTGCCCTCATTTATTTATTCAGTTATTTTTGTTTAATTTTTAGTTTTTAGAATTTAATAGATGATGCAATGTGACATGTTTGTATAGATTATTTTTGAAGGTACGCAATTCTATTTCAGTTCAGCATATTGAAAAGAAATGACTTTCGACTGCTGCTTTTTTAGTGTTTCCACGGATTGTACTTAAAGCGGTTCTTCAGATATTTCTTAACAAAAATTTTTATACACGCCGGTGTCATACACGGACGCTTTTTCAAAAGCCTTGCGCCTTCGATTTAAGTAATTAAACGCACAAAGGCATTCGTTGTTTTTGCCTAGTAGATCCACATTTATTGGTTTACTTTTGTCACTGGCGTCTTATACATTGTATAATTTTTTTCAACTCACAACTAAAACTTGCCTTTTATGTGTATTCTGTTGCCATCTAAAGATTCTACCACAATATCTTGATTAGTATTATTAAGCAACAAAGTTAACGTTACAAAGTTTAACATTGTCAAAAGTAGTCTCATAAGGGCGTTTTGAATTAGGTACTCGGAAGGTAATATGGTGTTCCTTTTTCGGACACTAGAAACTGCGCTGACTTTAAAACACTTCTTCCGATTAGGAAAATCCAATAAACGAACAGACAACTGCAACTTATGTCCAACCTATGTGTCCAAATAATAGAGGTATAAGATAAAATTCTAAGAGTGCACTCTTAGAATTTTATCTTATACCTCTATACTATTTTCCTGAAGTGAAGCCATGGCTTAACTTCAGGAAAATCTGTAATTGGATAAATAATGCATTTAAGTGCAGCGTTTCAAAGTTTTAGGAATATAATAAAGTTTTAACTACAGGTAGTTCAAAGCACTGACGGCAGATAGATGTGGGATTTATTAAGTAACTTGTTTGTAATAATGCTGAATCAAACGCTTCTGGCCTTGTTTAAAGAAAGTTTTCTGCAGTAAGTAGCACGAGCTATTCGTTCTACTTTATTGAACCGTAATTGGGTTTAAAAAATTTTTCTTGCGCGGTCGCAGCTATGTGACTTCCACCCCTTCTGTAATTTTCAAATTTTTTATTTGCATACTGACGTATTTTGCCAAACGCTAAAGACGTGAAAAATTCTGTCTAATCCTTTCTTTGGCTTTTGCCTTAAAAATGCGTACATTTACATCTATTTATTCATTTATGCGTGTTGCCAGTTTTTCAAAAGACTGGAATTTACGGACCACCTTTTGATTTTCGGTCTTCTTCCCAATGCCATAAAAATATTTAATTTTTTGCGCAAATATCCATTTCCTTTTGCTACCCAAATGTAAAAATTATTCTGGGCACACTTTCCTTATGTGAACTCCATTTGGGACCGCAGACCAAAAAGCTCTCGAATTCATGACTGCGCAAAAATATTCTAAACCAAGAGCAACATAGGTGACACTGGGATGAGTTGGTGTTTTGGCGCAATTCTGCAACCCCAGTCAGGAGACGGAATGGTGGTGTAGTACCTAGCGGAAAAACCTCCAGACACTGAGCCTACTGTCTGAAACTTTCTCGTTCAGTCGTGTCGACAGTAACATGTCTCAATTGATTACCCAT